AAAATAGCACACACATTTTGCATGAACATTTAAAGATACTTTATTTCTGAGAAAAATATTAATATTAAACTCTTTGCATTGTATTTGGAGAATTTGTGACCTTACAAAATATTTATTCTCACATCATGAAAAAACAGAGGATTTCTTTGAGACTACTACACTCTTAGCAGCAGTATTGTTCTGGATACTTCTCTTAAAGATACTAAAAAAATTTATATTCATTGCTTAAAGATGTAATTCATTGCATGTGACATCTTGTCATGGAGAGGATGCAGCACATTGCATATTTGGTATCTAAGATGGCAGATTGGCATTGTGGCAAACGGGGGCCTGGAAGCAATAGCTTATTTGTAAAGATATGTACAGATTTGTAAAGGTATTTGTAAAATACTGCAATGAGAAATTTTAAAGTCTCAAAGTAGATATGAGAAATGAATAGAAATCAGTAGCCTTGAACTTTGCTGTGTCTTTTGACATTTATTTTCTATATGCATCATTACTAAAAGGGGTATTTTTTATTTCATTGTAAAATTTTATTTGTAATGTAAAATGAATCAGTCACAGATCTAGTTCACTGAGGCAAAGCCTGTATTAACACAGACAACCTATCTGAAAGCACTTAATGTCTACCATGTCTTATTTAGATCATAACAGATAGAAGAGCCTAAGAAGACAATATTATTATACCAGGCTGATATACAACTGTCTCAGCATCTTATTTGCTAGCCTACTGTCAAGTTTCTTTAAACCATTAGAGGACACAAGTGTTTCAGAGTTTTGAATTAACTATTTCGAGATTGATGCATGTGCCCAGCATCTCAGCTGGTCATTCACCCTGATGAAGCTTTAAGTAACGCAATACCTGGAGCGATTTAGAGTATTGACTACTGAGCCAAGACACCCTGCTAATCAACTCTCCTTCCTCTGCTGTGTTATTTTCCACCAGTGAAGCTCCCACACAATCTCACATATGCTAATAAATTCATCAGTCTTGACTGAAAGAGAGTTCATGTGCTACCAGCTCTTTTTGAAGAGTGCAGCTGGTCTTCCTGCATTCGTGTGGGCCTAAACCGAGCCTGCTCTTGCTATTTCTGATAAATATTTATATAGCAACGTAAATTTACAGGGAACATTACAAACAGCTCTAATGTTCTTTGCCACAAAAAGCTTAAAACAATATATATGCATTCCCATTGGAAAAATCATCATTAAACAATGACAATAAACAGTACAATATCCAAACAGCTTATTTTTTAATGACAAATTGGTTGTGAAAAGAATCATAAACTTACAAAAGAACTGATATGATACTTGTTTAGGGCTACATGACTGCTGCTTAGACCCTGTAGGCTGCCAGGTTCTAGATCAAGCTACTCATTTAAATGGAGATAGCATCCTTCTTTCACCAAAGTGCACTCTTTGTCAACTCAGGAAGCCTGACTGGAATCAGCATTCCTCATAACTCTGAAGAGACCTAGCTTTTCAGCTGTTAAGAAATTACCTGTAATCATGAAACAGTACAAAAGATGTGGAGTGCCTACAGTGCAGGCATATATTCCCTTTTTATTTTTTTTTCCGACTGAAGATGCTTACAGAAACTGAGCATCCTGAAACTGAAAACATTTGTTGCAGAAAGCAACATCAACCTATTCAGAAACACTCTTTGTAGTGAGACTCTGACACATTTGCTAGTAGGAGAGTTAATAATATGTTCTACTGAGTGAGAAAGAGAAAGATCAAGAGATTTGTATAATTAGGAATTTGCCCAGCATAGTTTTCAAAGGACTCCTTGTTGATGAAGAAAACTGGACAGGTTCTCGGTTTCCTTCCTACCCCCAAGGAACTCATCATATTGAAAGTTATTTCTCTGAATTATTCAGGTGTCTGCTTTTAAAACAAGTCAATAGGAGAAGTGAAAGATAAAAACATAGAGTTCTTTTACAATAAGTTGCTTTTTTCTATCACATTGTCTTTTTTTTTTCACCCCATCTCAAAAACTTGAAGTATTATATAGTTCCATGCAAAATTCTTATTTGTAGAAATGAGTGGAGGCAATGGAGCTATGAAGCTTTCTGATACGTCGTGCTCCAGTTTCAAACACTCTGTTACTCTCAGAAATATTACACTTCCTTGTACAGCAAACATATAATAATACATTTCTTATACTCCTGTGTGTCCCAACTCCATTCCCCATCTAAGCAAAATTAGGATTGGACTAGGAAGTGAGTCAGAACTCCTGTTTGCAACATAAAGAGATGAGGAATAAAACACTGCCTCATCTCTTCCCACTCCCCACCATATAGCTACTGATGAATGTATGCATGAATATGCAGGAAAAGAGTGTCCTGCTGTTATCAGCTACCAAAGCTGATTTACCCCACCTTCAAAGGCAGACTCAGGAAATGAATTATGAATACAAAAAATGCAGTTGTTACCTTTGATCTCCCTTGGGAAACTCTCATTTCTCATTGTCTTCAGTAATTGCAGAAAATAGATTATTTTTTTTCCCCACATAAGCAATTTGTGTTCTCATTCTCATTTCCATGAACTGAACAATAACAACAAAAAAATATTCTCTTAAAATTATCTGGTAAAGTTCTGCATCAAGACCAGGAAGGTTGTTATGCCACCATCAGTTAGTGAGCTTCTGGAAAAGGCTTACTTTGTAAAGAGCAATTTGATCCCTCGTGCTGGTGACAGTCAGGCCAGTGTCTTTATTAGGCTGAGACTAACTAAGAGCTTGGCTTGCTCCTTAAATTTCATCAGAAGAAACATAGTAGATTACATCCTTTTTTATTTGATAATTTTTGTGCATGTTCCTAAAAGATTTATGGCCTGGCTTTCTCCACAGGAATTCAGATTTCCCTGAAATTTTGTCTCTGGTGGAAGATACAGTGATAGGATGTAAAAAGGAAAGGTGAAAAAGCAGAGGACACCTGAATAACTTCAGTATTGGAGAGCAGCCATGGCCTGCCTGCCTTGGTACTGGTAGCACAGCCTTGCAAATTCTGTGGTGAGTGTGCAGAAATTTAATCTCTCCCGAACAGAATTTATTAGGATTATAAACCATTTATCTGTTTCATGTATTAGAAATTCTTAAGCAATATGCAAAAGGAAGAGGGAAAAAAAGAAGCTGAAACTGGAGAAAGAAATTTATGTATGGTTCAGGGGATTTTAATACTGATTAACTTAGACTATGGATAGCTTAAAGTGATACAAAACCTAGGAAACAAAGCTATCCAACATTTCAGAACTGTCCACAAGTATCCAGGGCACTGGAGGGGTATCAAAATTAATCTATGAGGGTAAAATAAAATTATATAAATAGATGCGAAGGGGGGTAGCCATGAAAACATAAAGACTTTGAATTTTCTATATATTCCTGATGCACTTAATTTCACTTGGAATTAAAGATTTATCCAGTAAGTCATGCAGCAGCAGTAAAATCATTATGTAAATGTCATTTCCGTCTTTATGACAAGGACTTTCTTTAAATATGCACGCTCACTGAGTGTTCGTTTGGGCATAACATACACTTACCTACAGAGTCGTTCCACTTTTTTCCCCAGATGCTCTACTGACTGTTGTTAGGTGGTTTGTTTGGTCTGTTTAGG